ATCCCCGCAAGGGGCTCGGAAAGCTAGCGCCGTTACACAAATACCAACGAGCGGCTGATTGATTATCAGCTTTCTGAGAAGATTGAAAGTCCGGAATGGCGAAAGCAGATGCTTGCTTGGCTCGTGCGAGGGAGCATACTATGGTATGCGAGAGGCAGTTTGCCAGTGGTCGAAGATCTACCACGCAAAATGCAAGATGCTCTCAAGGGCTACGTGGAAGCAAACGATCATCTCGAGAATTTCATTGCTGATAACTGCGTCAAAGGCAAGAAATGGGCAACGCATGTGGACATATTGAAGCAGGCATTTGAAAACTACATTGGAAGACGGGATCGGCCAATGACTGTAACCGAATTCAAAACAATGATGCAAGATGTGAAAGATGTTACATATGCAAAGCAAGTCAAGATACTGGGACGCAACACAACGGGGTACAGAGGGATCAACTTACGGCGTCAATGAGGTCGCCAAACAATTGTTCCACAACACAAGCAAGTGGGAGGAGGTAGGTGAGGTAGGTGAAAGGTAGGTCGAAGGTAGGTGTTTGAAAACAGCTCGATCTCGGTCTGTATCTTGGTTTATATTACAATCATGGTAGGTAGGTAGGTGTAAAATAATCTACATCATAGCATTATCTTTTTGCCACCATTGAGCGCGCAAATTGTCTCAGTCGCCAATCAAATACGGCGTCTACCTACCTACTTACCTACCTCAGCAATGTTTTTAACGATGAATCACACCTCCTCCTCCAATTGCTGATTGTCTACTATTTCTCTACCTCACCTACCAACGCGTTGCTCCGGGATAAGGATAAAAAGTGTGCCGTGTTTGTGCTAGACACATGCAAGTCACCAACTCTATCTCTGCAACAGCCGAGCACGCACCCCTACCGTCCACACGGTTGCTGCAAGTGCGATGCTAAGCTTGGCGTCGTCAACGCGCTTCGAAGAGCTATTATTGCCGCCCAGGAGCAGCGGCAAGATCACCATGAAGCTCTCAAGCCCCGAGTACCACCCCAGACTCCTAAACCCCTTCAAAAAGGCGTTCACCGACTCCACCGCACTAGTGTTTACCCAGTGGAGCGACGGATAGCTGTCCGGGCAATTTGAGGGGCCGCACTTGTGTACCTCCTGCCCGGCCTTTAAGAAATGAAACTTGTCAACAGAAAGGTGTACATCAGTTTACATTCTAAGAATAATACCCAATGTACACGTCTTGAATCGAGAATCCGAGCTCCCAGCACCGGCCCAACTGCAAAATGAATCTCAATGTACACACAATTCCAATTGATGTACACTGCAATCCGTACTCGATGCTTAGCAACAACGCCCACTACCACCAAGTCTTCATACAACGGATTGTCCAAGCATGCCATTATGGCGTGAAAGTGACGCACCTGTCGACGACAAACCGAACCTTGGTGCAAAATGCGCCGATTCTCTGCGGAAGCAGTAGTTACGCAAGGCGCAACTGTTGTCGTGGACCAAAACCTCTGGCAGGTCCTCCCGCCTCAGCCGAGTGTAGAGCACAACGAACGTGTCCCTTGGGCTCTCCCCGCGTAGCATCACATGGAAGCCATAAATGATCCTGTGGGGGCACGCAAAGACATAGCCCCCCCTAGTCCTTTTCGGCCGCTCGCTCTTGCTACCCTTCTTCCCCGAGAGCTTTCCGGCCCCCTTCACCAGTCCTGGAACATTCTCGGCATCCCACTCGGTCATTGACTTCCCGTTGCGCATTTGTGCTCCTCCGAGCTCTTACTGCGGCCGTCCGGATGCTCAAAACTGCTGTACCACGGCAAACCCCGCTTCTGCTCCCATCCGGGAAACGGGTAGCACGCCAAGGCGTCCTGCTCGGCTCGAAAAGCGTGCCCTGCCGGCAACGGGTGCAACTCGTCGCCCTCCTTGTCGCGCCCCAGCCTCTCTCTCAGAAGCGAGCGCTCATGACCGCTCATCCCCTCCCACTGCCGGGGGCTTGGCTCCAATATTTCGACCCCCGGGAGCAGCTCGTTCGCCAGCCCTCGCACCTCGTCCAAGCGTCGTCTTTCATCGATGCTCAGGGGACGCGCTCGAGCCTCCGTAAGAAGGCCAACCGCTCGCTCGAACGGGTCGATCGCCTCATGCACCCAGCCCCGCCGCCCTTCGCTCTCGAATCCCGTCCCCCCCTGAGCCAAGAGTACGAGCAGGTAGAGGTGGTAGAGCGTGCGCACGAAGAAAGCCGGGAACGTGAGCCCTCCGCACGAATCCAGGATGCACCGCAGAATTGGTGCGTCCCTTGCCCAGTCCCGCCGGTCCTCGCGAGTTGCCTCGTCACCCAGCAGCAGCTTCCGGGCCATATGCAATGCGCCAGGTCCGATAAGAGCCTCGTCGCTGTCGTGCGCGCCGAGAGAGTACAGAAGCTCCGTCCACTCGCCCACCCAGTGCTGCCACAGGTCTGGGCTCAACCCTCGCCTCTCAAAGTCGGCCTGGATCCCCGTCAGCAACTCGAAGACGGCCAGGTTTCGGTCTCGCACCATCGTGCACTGCTCGACGAGCATGCGCCGTCTGCCGTCCTCTGGAAGCGGGCCCCCCGCCTCATCCGGCCCGAAACGCTTCACGATCTGGGGGTCCTCGTGAGCCAGCCCGTTCAAAAGCGCTTCATACTCCACTTTTGACAGCCTCCTCTCAAGCCTCTCGTCCTTGGGCCGATGTTGGGAGAGGCGCGCGAGCGCTTCTTGCAACTCAGGTAGCAGCAAGAGCTTGCGCTTCAATCCGCCCCCCTGAAGACCGGACCCGCAATAGTCGCGGTCGGAGATGGGCCGCTTCTCGAGGAGCGCTCCCGTGGAGGTACGCTAGGGTGGCAGAACGTGCGTCGCGCGTCGAGCGAGGAGCTTCCAAGCCCGCCTGGCTTTTGCGCGCCGTCAGCGCTGGCAAGGCCGACGATGCCGTCGCAGATGAGGATCTGGAGAAAATGTCAAAGTTGTGTGGGTCAACGAGTATGTTGAGCTGCGATTCAGATCAATGTGCATAGCACAGGATCAACCATTGAAATTCCATCAAATGTACATGAAATGTTACTTGTACACTGAATATCAACAGATGTACATTGATTATGGACTCGGAATGTACACTGATTATCCAACTGTCACATAACAAACAGACAGCAAAGACACGATAGACAGAAAAATCTTGTAACCTCTCGTCATCAGCATGGGCACGCCATGGGGCTCACCTTTGGATGGGGCCCACACAACGAGCAGCAATCCCGAAGCCCCAGCCCAACCAGCTTGAAGAAGTCAAGGCTTGCCCGGCGCCATGTCTCCTCGCTCAAGACGATCGCATCCGGGGAGCGCTGGAAGGCCGACTGATGCGTTGCCAACTCCGCTTTGAAGCTGTGCCCGTGCTGCATCCCCCGCAAGAGCAGTTGCAAGCTCTCCTGGACGAAAAGAGTCCGCCGATTCCACGTGTGCAGCCCCAGGTGCTCGCCGTCAAAGTGGATTGTGTGCGCTTCGTCAAGGTGGCACTCGCAGTGGTAGATCCGCACCCGCACCCGCTGGCTCCATTGGGAGGCCGTCACGTCCGCCTCGATCCATGCCTCGACCCATGGGCCGCCGCACGCCGGCGATTCAATGGGGCAGGGCGCGCTCAACAGCCCCTTCTCCGACAGCTCCTGAAAGTGGCAATCCCTCAGCTTGCTCACAGGAACGGGGCGGTCGAGCGAAGTCACGAGCGGGTTGTGGACGGCGTGCGCATCGCTCGACCGTGCCAGCTTGGATTTTGTGACTTGGACGGCCTCAGTCGTGAGGAGCATGACGGGGGTGCGAACCCTCAAGGCCTCTTCATGCTCGCATCGGCCCCTAGCGACCGCTAGTGCAGCCAACGAGCAGCTCGTGCACGCGTCCACCCAGCCTCGAATTGCCTCCTTGCCTCTCGCTTCTGCCGGCGGCCGAGCGCCCCACCCCACTCTTGTGGCTGGACCTTGCGAGCCTTGCTTGTGCGCCTCCCAGAAAGCCTTGTTCCGCCTCGCCCGTTTGTGAGGGGGCGCCTCCTCCTCAGCCGACCCCCCTTTCCTGCCACGATTGCCCCCATTGCTCTCCCAATCGTTGGAGGTTTGTGTGACGGCGGCCTCTCCAAAGAGGCGCTTGTGCTGACGACAGAAGCATGAGTCGCCGGCGCAGGTTGCTTGCTCGCCGCCGCTCCAGCAAGCCAACAAGATACCGCTCCTCTTCCGACAGCCCCGCATCACCTCCCCCCTGCGAAGG